CCGCTTTTTTGTAGAATTCGCCTCCTGACTGTTCAGACATTCTTAAGAATTATGAATCACCATTACGACATTCAGAAACGGCCTTTATTTCCACCCCCGGAATCATTTTTTGCTGCTAGATGGCCGCGATTTCACACGCAACAAATTATATTTGTGCAAAATTTACTGGAGCCTCTAAACGTACGTATATGCGACATCGTGCCGAGTCGTGATAATTTAGCCCCGGTGGAAATTCGATTCGACGACATTTTTCCTAATAATGCCAAATTACTTCCCCATAATATTTTGGATCGTTTACTACAAGATCACCTGCGCCGTATTACAACGAACGTTATTATTGCTACAGACGCATCGCAATACGACGAAAAGTCAGGGGATGGTATTTTCAGTCCGATTTCAAATTGGATTTATTCCGTTCGACTACCCGATTTCATACCTGTTTTTGTGGCTGAGTTTCTGGCAGTAGTGCTCGCCTTACGCAAGTTAGGTACAGCAATTACATCAGCTGTCATAATAACAGATTCCCTATCTCTCTGTGCGGCACTTTCTGTTGGTGCTGATAATCACGTAACAAAGGCGTTCCGTGCACTAGTACCTGCGCATTTGAGAAGAGTACGATTAGTTTGGGTGCCTGGACATGAAGGTTTGTTTCTAAATGAAATAGCCGATTCCTTAGCTAAGTCGTCAATCAGCCAACCAATTCTACCACTCTGTCCATCATTCGCTTATGTGAGTGCTGCTCGATTCCGCGGACGTACGCTTATGCAAGTCTTTAAAGGTTCAGCACTAACAAACTCTACAGAATATCGCCATTTATTCTATCCTTGGCGAAGAGGCTTTTGCCGCACTCGAAGACAAGAAGTAGCTATCACAAGGCTGCGTTGCCGAGTACCAAATCTAAATTTCTATAAACACAAGTCTGCTCAGGCACCTTCGCCACTGTGTGCATTCTGTAATGAACTATAAACAATAGACCATTGCTTTTTGACCTGCAGGTGGTTTAACACATTACGAAAAACCCTATTAGAAATACCTTTACGTGGTATTGGTATGGACGTATCTCTGCCTGTCATTTTGTCTTTTGGAGCTTCTATTTCTGGTTTCTCTAATGCGACAGTATGCGCGGCCGTCTGGGACTATATTGATGAAACTAATAGGTTGACTAATTAACCAGTTTCATTATCTTAACAGGTCCACATAATTATATACATATAAAATCAGATTATTGCTCTATTCTGAGAATAAATTCGTTTATGTAAATATTTGTATGCATTACATTTAGCACCACACTTTCCTAGGCTATCGGTAATCTTTCTGTCAAACCTCCATCATTCCAAATATGAACAGTAAATGTTGAAACCACTCGATTCTTGGCCAATCCCCCACAGTGGGTATGCGCCACTAACAATAGAACAACAACAACAACAACTTGTACTAGTGGCAATATAAACACTTGAAGTGCCTCTCTTTACAAAGATAAGCCTCGCATTAAAAAAAAACTGCTTTGTGATCAACTAAAATGCACGACTGTGGATAAAACGTGCTTCACTGCAATACATTGCTGACAGTCGGTGAAGTAGGTGTTGCAGGTAAGAAATCCGCCAACAGTGCATACTGCCGGAGCAACCACCAGTCAGAAGTTAGTTTACATTACCAATTTAATAAGACTGTTCTTTATTAATCCCTTCATATTTCAGAAAAGAATGGGTAAATCTCAATGTGCTGACATTGCAAAAAGCATGCAATAAGCTGTCTGCGTGTCACTGCTGTATTGCAGTGAGGCATGTTTTCTTTTTCTCACGCATACATTACAGATGATCACGAGACTGCCTTTTTCTTTTTTTATTTTCACACTGGCAACTTCAAGGCTGGGGTGCTTCATCATTCATTCATCAGTAAACTGTATTGCCTTGTGGCTCTTAAGCGCAGTTATTTCTGCTGATTCACCGCAAAATTGAGATCAGGAATTGGCACATGGCACCCAAAGTTTTCAAATTAAATGGGCTGGCGCTGACCACCACTTCAAATTATGCAATCAAACTTGCATAGCGAAATACGAGATCACAGAAATTCTTTCAAATAGGCGGGGTTTATAAATAACCAAGTTTGAATTATTGAGCTATTACCGTATTTTTTTTTTCTCTCAGGGAGCGGTGCGTAAGCATGCAATCTATACAGGTTTCTGACAAGAAGGTAGCATGTTTACGCATGAGCAGTTGACAACATTCATGTCAGACAGCATATACATCTATGTGAAATTTCCAAAAAAAAAAGTTGTGGGAAGTGCAGTGCTCGTCTTTGGTTTCTTTTATTGTTTTTTTTTTCATCTGTGTTTTCTTGAATTGCAGTATCTTGCATTTCTGTTGCAACATTAGACAAAAGAAAGTGTAAGTTCCGAGGAAAAGACTTCTGTTACCATCAGCCATTGTAATGGTAAAACATGGCAAAAAACTTTTTGCTTCAGCAAAGACAACTCATTACCATCAGCAGTGCCAGGCTTGTGAAATAATATTGAAACTACAAGCAAATATCACACCTGCAAAATAGTAGCTAGGCAGGCTTGTTGTTACATACAAATAGTTGTTCCAGACAGTGCAGAAACAGGACACAGCATCTGTATTGTGTGGTCTCTTCCATAACCCACTTCTGCGCTGCTTGGAATAGTAACTATATTCCACTAATCTGACATCCTACTAGTAACAACAGGGGAACTAATAAAAGCAAAAAAAAAATGCAAGAAGGCAAAGCCGCTGATGAGGATAAGGTAACAAAACACCTGCTAAAATATACCAGGCAGATTATGTTAGAAAAACTGGCCACCTTGTACCAAAGTGTCTCTTGACGAATATGCACTAAAATCTTGGATGAATGCCAACATCATCTTAATCAATAACAAAGGGGCAATCAAAAAACTTGAAGAATTACAGTCCAATTAGCATACTGTCTATTCCTGACAAGCTATTTAGAAAATTATTACCTAATAAATTAGGATGACATTAAAGTTCAATCAACCAAAGGACCAAGCAGGATTTCATAGAGGCTACTCCACAACAGAATGTATTTGTACAATCTATCAGGTGATAGAGAAGTGCGCGAAATACAACCAACCCCTACACATGGCCTTAAAAGATTACGAGAAGGCATTTGATTTGGTCGAGATATCGGCAGTGATGCAGGCACTACAGAATCAGGGCACCGACGAACCCTACATAAACATACTGGAAAAAATCTATAACAGATCCACAGCCACCATAGTTTTTCATAAAGAAAATGACAAAATCCCAATAAAGAAGGGTTTAAGGCAGGGAAACACCATCTCCAAAATGCTATTCACTGCATGTTTACAGGAGGTTTTCATAGCCCTAGACTGGGAAGAGTTAAGGATAAGAGTTAATGAAGAATATCTTAGTAACCTGCGATTCGCAGATGACATTGCTTTTATGAATGAAGGAAAAAGGGGTGAACTTAAGAGCTTTTTACAAAGAAACAATATTAGTGAGAACTGACAGACAATTATGAGTAACTCAGTGAGCGAATTACAGCTAATAATTACTGAACTAGAGATGGAAAGCAGCACAATAGGTCTGACAATTATTATGCATAAAACTGAGGTAGTGTGCAACAGTCTCGGCAGGAAACAGTGTTTTGCAATAAGTGATTAGACACTAGAAGCAGTAAATAAATATATCTACTTAGGACAGATAGTGAAACCGCAGAGCCAAACCATTAGAAGGAGGTAACTAGAATAAGGATGGGGTGGAGCACATTTAGCAAGCATTCTCAAATCATGAATAGTAGTCTACCATTAACTCTCCAGAGGCAGGTATATAACAACTGCATCTTGCTAGTACTTACCTATCAAGCAGAAACCTGGAAGCTTACAAAAAGAATTCAGCTTAAAGTGAGGACAATGCACCGAGCAATACAAAGGAAAATAATTGATGTAACCTTAAAAGACAAGAAGGGAGCAGAGTGCATCAGGCAACAAGCTGGGGTAAAAGGAATACTGAACAAAATTTTTGCTGCCACGATTTTCAACCAAATATAAAATTGGGTGCTAATATCGACAAAGACAACCTTCATTTTAGGCAGAAACTATGGAAAAATAGTGAATTTATTGTGTTTTTTATTAACTGCAACGTCTAGTGGCTGCATCATGAACTAGGGGAGGTGATGTTTGGTGATGTCACATATGCCAAAAGCAGGCAAGCCAACATTGCCAGCTATCACTCAACTGACTCATCTCCCCCTACGGTTCCCAGAACCGACATGAACAGCACCGGTAGCGAAAAATGCTCCCGGCTGGAGTAGAGCTTCAGCGCTTTTGTGGAAGGAGGAGAGTGGGTTCAAGGAGAGGTGGTGAAAAGAAAGAGGAGAACATGAAGACGTGCAACCTGCATGCTTCTCGGCAATTGTGACGTCATGGTGGGTGATCACATGCAGCTACTGCATGCTGAAAATCTATAGAAAACACAGCCAACTAAAAATACTGAAATATAACGCTGCTTATCGAAACAGTCACATTTTCCCAGTAGAATTTAGCAGTTTCGTCAGTTTTTCAATTTTTGTTCAGTATCCTTTTAGGGATATTATAGTTGAACTCAAGAAGAAATGGACATGTGCTAGACACATAGCACATAGCCAGGATATCCACTGGTTGTTAAGGGTAACTGACTGGATTGCTAAAGAAGGCAAACGCACAAGGGGGAGACAGTAAGTTAGGTGGGCCGATGAGATTAAAAAGTTTGCAGGTATAAAATGGCAGCAGAAAGCACAAGACCGGGCTGATAGGAGAAACATGGCAAAGGCCTTCTCTCTGCAGTAAGCATAGTCAGGCTGCTGATGATTATGATATGCCTGTCGTTCAAGCGCACGAATAAACACAAAGGAAGAGAGGACAAGCATGGACAAGCATGATTATGACCTGCATATGCTTTACAAAATGTTACCTCTGGTGAAATTATGAGTGAAAACACGCTAATTATTATAAAGATCCTCACCAGTTCGTGTGGTCGACAAAGAACGCTGAGAGTCTTGTTGCGCTCACGGATGAAGCCAAAGTCACCCTGGTTGAAGAAAAAGTGCTGCTGTTGCTGTTTGTTTGGTGCCCTGCAAGTGAAGAAGCAGCACTGCATTTTTGCAACTCAGCTCACATAAAGTGCAACAAATGCCTACTACCAGTCGCATTCTACTTGACAATTTTTTTTAACGCAAGCAAGACTAGTCATTCTAGTGCTTTGTTGCATGGATATCAAAAGGCAACTCTAGAAAGACCCACTTTCGATTGTGACTAAGAAATATGATCACAAAAAAGGTTAAAAGGTCTCATGCGTTGCTTAAGGTTAACAGCATGAAAATAACACACGGGAGACGGCAGACACGAAAAAGATGCTCCCATCTTTTTCCAGTCCGCTGTGTGTTATTTTCGCACAGTTAACCCTAAGTATGCACAACCAACTAGCCCGGTCAGCCATTTTGTTAGGTTTCATCCGACTGTTATCAGAATAAGAAAACATGTTCATCACCTTTATCAAGGAACATGTAGGTTCTTTCCGGTGTTCAGTCACGCACATGTGGTGTTTCGCTTTTTATATTTTACGTGGTTCCAAAAACATATCAGTTGTTAATACGCACTCGTGCTGTTCTTTTCTCCCTTTCTCCATGCAGTTTCCCTAATTTTAAAAAAGCAACATGCTTATGCTTAACTGTCCAATTTTTTAACCTCTAGTACTATAGTGTCATAACATAAACAAAAGTAGCTGAAACAGATAAAAAAAGAAAATGCAATAGCCCTATATATACCAAAACTTAAAAATTCATCCAACAGCTCTTTTTTTAATCGTAAAAGTATCTTCAAAGCACGCAGTGTTATGCATTGCCGTTAAGTCAGCGCTACACTCAAACCTTGATATAACAAACCTGGATATAACAATACATCGGTTATAAAGAAGTGAATGAAGAATAGTCTTACAATAGAGAAAGTGTTAGGGATTACAAATTTTCGGATATAAGACACTTATTTTCATACAAGATTTCAATTTGTTGTAATGACCAATGAGTGCATTGGCCTTGAGATCTTGGAGTGGCGCCTCCTCGCATGTGATGTCAGAGCAGGGACTCCGCTCTCAACTGCGCTGCAGCAGCCATTGCTCCTATACATAGATCGTCTGCTTCATGCAGGAACTTTGTCGAATGAACAGCCTTGCGAGGATAAAGTGTCAACCACTGGCACGCGTATGCACGCTGTTACGTTTGGCCCGGCGATTCGTCTGGGCAGACGCCATTGTGCGTAAGCCGATCTACTGGGGAGGCTCTCAACTCCATCGGCGCCCAGTCTGCCAGACGCTGTCGAAGATTTCGGCGATTACCCAGGCAATGTGGCAAGCAAAGGCAAGTTCCTGACTTTCAAATGCGGACCCTTTCGTCGTCCCTTCAAGCAGCAGCGGTGCCTGATGACCTCGGCGACTCATCTGGCGACGAGGAAGCTGTTGTGACCGACGCCAGAGCTGACGGGGGAGCGGCGCTCTTCTAATCCTCAATCAAGTAGCCAACCGGCCGGCTGCCTATGCTCGTCAGGCATTGTCCGTGCTAGACGGAGGATGAGACGTCGTGTCGCCACGACGCCGTAAACCATTAGAGTGAGCGCAACAAACACAGCATCTTCCTTGGAAGAGACCGTGGCAGCCGCCGCAAATTGCCCCGCTAACTGAGCGAACAAATCGGCGAACCCTTTGATGTATGCAGTCAGGAGCTTGGGACCTCTCAACTAGCGGCACACACACGATGAGGAAGAGCACCGCTGGCGCCACCTTGCAGTGCAGTGTTCACGACTCAACATTGGATGTTCACGTGGTCCGTGCATGCTCGTCCCCCTCACCTGTTGTGTGTGATTGGTGTTCCACTCAAAGAGGAGGAGCCCGACAGGGCTTAAAACGACGCTGCAGAGTGCTGGACGTCGCTCTGAACTATGTAACGGTTCAACCACCACGCTCGTGGCTTATGAAACCACTAACCCTTCTTTGCTGTAAATACGTGTAAATGATGCCATAAACCTGTTTGTTTTTGTATCCTCTTCTCGTCAGCATTCGTCTCCTCCACCCGGTTACACCACGATACCACAAGAGACCAGGTAGACCCCCATTCGCATCAACTGCTTGGCAGCGGTGAGATGGACTTCACGACATGGTGCTGTGCTGTGGTAAGTGCTTGGTCCTTGCTTTACTTTCCAGGCTTCACTTTGTGAGTGTGAGTTTGTTAGAAGCTGGATTGTGTGTGAGTAAGGGAGATCACCTATTTGTGTGTTAGAGGGATCCCCTAAATTTGTGTGAGATGCAGGACCAAAGTATAACGGCAATCATGGAGGTGAAGACACTGCTAAAAGATGGTCTTTTGTACGTTTGTGAAGACCTTGGTATTAAGATTAAGGAATGAATGGGCAGGTCAGAAATTTTAGAGCTGATTTTGGAAAGCGCGAGTGAGGAGGATATTGGATACGGGTTAAAAGCTTTCAAAAGGGTGGCAAAACAAAAACAGAAAATGGAGGAGCGAGAGAGAGAACGGAAAAGAGAGGAACGGGAGCGAGAGGAACGGAAACGAGAGGAACGCAAAAGAGAGGAACGGGAACGAGAGGAACGGAAACGAGAGGAATGCGAAAGAGAGGAACGGGAACGAGAGGAACGGGAAAAAGAGAGAGGAGAAAAGAAAAGAAGGGATAGAAAAGAAAAAGAAGAAAAAGAAAAAGTGGAACGACAGAAAGAGAGAGAGCAGTGGAAGGAAAGCCTAAAAGTAAAACAGGAAGAAACAAGAAGATCAATACAGTTCCTTAGATGGTCTCAAGTAAATTCGAGGATCCATGCATTCGAAAAGGGCGAGGATATAGAGAGTTACCTAACCTCTTACGAGAAAGTTCGCAGAGAACTAGAGCTCGACGAAGACTATTGGTCTATCGCGTTATTGAGTGTCCTTCCGTGCGACTTAATGTGTAGAATAAGGTACCTTTCCGAGGAGCAGTTCAATAATTACAATGTAGCTAAGGCAGCTTTACTGCGGTGCTTCGGCATCAGGGTTGACAGAAAGCGAATTGAGTACAAGCTCACGAACGCTCCCGTGAAGAACGCGCGATGTTGTGCTGGTAGTAAAACCAAACCTGAGAGAGGTCCGCGTGTCTCTTATGGCACCAAGGTGGATAGTGAGCAAAAATGGGAGTTAGAAAAACGGGAGCGAGGTGAAGAGTGTGAACCCTAGCGATTGAACTGTCGGAACAAAAAGTCGAGGCAAGGTGGTGGAAGATTCAGCCATCCGCAAGTGTAGCGCACGAGAAGTGCGATAATCAAGTAAGTGTGGTACAGTTGATAGCCGTAGATAAGGCTAGCACGTTTAAGGACAGCAGCAGGTTCGATGAAGAACAAAATTTGAGCGCTGCTAAAGATGCTGCGCTGCGTAGAGAGGCCTACGAAGGCCAGAGCAAATGCGACGAGGTACTGTGCCCGTTTAATGCTAGCGAAACAGCTAGGATAGCTGTAGAAAGGCTGGTACAGACCTCAACTGTGTTTGTCGCGACGGTGGATCTTGCAGACAATGTGGGAGTAGTTAAGGACACCAGAGAAAGCTCAGGCAAAGCAGCAACAGTAGAGAATGGTATCAGTGCAGTTGCAGACAGCTCTTAGGAATGCGAGCAAGAGTTTTCGAAGGGAAGCAGCTGCATTGGTCCTAAGTGTGTTAGCCAGTCCGCCGATCTAGAGGGTGAGAATAAAGATGAATTGGTCGAAAATCAATTAGACCGCGCAACTGAGACAGCTGACGAAAGTTCTGAGAGGGTTCACGAGTGTGAGATGCGATCGGGAGGCTCGGAAACCAGACGCAAAAAGCGGCGCAGACACAAGAGACGTAGGAGAGCCGTGAGCGAGACAAAAGTGACAACGCGTGTGGAGGAAAGTTCGAAACATTTGAGCGTAGCAGGCAAAACGAGACGTTTCGCATCGGCGTCCAAGCTGCTCTGCATGCGTCTGAGCCGCCGGACGAAAAGAAAAAGAAAAGCGGGTTCTTCGCGAATGATTCCCGTGTAAGTCGTCGGTACTTCAGTTCTATGAACTGCACGTTTCAGGGCGCGCGCGAATACAGGTTCAGTACAGGTGAACCGGCCCGACAAGGCAACACAGCCAAGAAATCAAAGTGCCAAAGTAGTAGGGCAGGTGGTGCAGAATCACCCTTGAGATGTAAAGCCACCGATGACGCAACGCGTGGCCAATTTCCTAGTTGTGAGAAAACGGTTGGTCGCAAGCGTTGCCGTAAAAGATTGAAGCGTACATGCGCGACTAAGGAAAGGCAAGAAAATGGTACCAATGAGCCGGGCGAAAGAAAGAAGGGTAGATCATCGGCTCGTTCAACGAAAGGTCCTTTGTGGCCTACAGTAAGGCACAGACGGCAAAACGGTAGGCCATGGCGCAGGTCCTAGCGAAGGTATGCGCTGTGGAGATTTAGAGCTTTTCGTGGACAGGAGTGTTCACGTGGTCTTAGAAAAAAGGCCACGATTGCTAAACGCAGCACAGGAGCGAGCCCAAAAAGGGCATGGCCACTTTTTTCCACGCATGGCTCGGGTCCCCTCCGCGAACCTGACAGAGCCAGGCTGAAATCGCGAATGATGCGTGACTGCGCTGTTCAGCTTGTAGGACGTGCACGTTGTGGAGCCAGGCGTTCTGAAAATCCGCCAAGACCTCGACCGCCGCGTGTGAGATTGAAGTGAGGGACAACTATAAGCTGGAGAGTCGGACAAAGGAAATTTTCTTAGAAGCATGTTTGTTTGCTTATTTTTGGTTTTAAAGTAGTATTCCTTTGTCATCTCCTCGGCTAGTTCATGTAGCAACAGTTTTCCCCTTCTAGATTTTTTAAAAGCTTTGTGTTTTGAGTTGAGTTGTTATGCGGAAGCAGTGGCCCGCATCAGTCTGCCGACTGCGTGAAATTAGTTTTCTTCGAGATAAAAGCATGTAGGTCAAGAATGAAGATTTGGTACGCCCACTAAACTTGAAAGAGTGGCGGCTATAGGTTATAGCAATATGACCTATGATTAGGTGTGTGTTGGTATGTTAGCGCTCTTTGGATGATAGTATGAT